TATATATATATAGACTATACTTTTACAAACATTTAAATGAAAAAATATATATAAGCAAAGAAAAAAAACAAGACTTTTATCCTTTTTTTTTTATGATGTGTTTTAAAATGCACATTCTAAAATTCACATTGAAGACCAATCATTTAAGATGGAAGAAAGTGAATTAATGGAAGCTGTAAATAATAATATCTTTTTTTTTTCATATTTTAATCTTTAGGTGGCTCGTCTCGTACAATTTCCAAAGAACTATCTGAATTATTAGTGCTACTTCCACTTCCAGCATCGTCTTCTCTTTCAGTTGCTTTTTCTTGAACAGTACTTGTACTTAATTGCCATGACGGAATAGATGCTGGAGCACTGGGAAATTGTTTTCTATTGAAAATTAAACATTTAATATAATTAAAATAAAATATTAAATGTGTAACAAGATTTTGTAGAACGATCATAAATTCAAAATGTAAAATGTAATTATTAATATAAAAGTATTTGCAAGAAAATGCTAACATTTGTTGAAAATCATTTTAACGTAGAATATTTAATGTAACTAAAAAAAAAAAAAAAAGAAAAATAATAATAATAATAATATATATAATAAATAATATTAATAACAAAGAGATACCTCGAAAGAAGAAGTGCTTTCAGACTAGATAGTTCTTGTTTAAGTTCTTGTACGAGTTGTGGAATTGCTATATCAATTGATTGATTTTGCGATAATCTTTTTACATCGACCTCTACCTTAGAAATAGAATCCTTCATTTCTTTAATAGAATTTTGTATAGCGATATCCAATTCGGTAACAGTATCGGTTATGCTATTTTTTTTCTTACGTCCGAATAAAAATGGTTGAATAAATTCCTATAAATATCAAGAATTTGGATACCTTACTTTTGTAAAAGGAATAAACCATATTGTAAGGTATAAATTGTATTTAAAGTTTTTAGATAATAATATACCTTATAAAACCAATAAACACAATAAAGCGTAGCTCCGATCACAGCAGTGACGTTAAAAAATTCTTTAATCTTTTGTAACAACGTCAATTGATATGATTGTACATGTAAGTATGGGTAACGAGATTTTTCTGGTATTGATATTGCTGTATATTCATTTTGATTATCAAATCTTTTCTGTTCATTTGTATCAACGCCAGCTATTTCACAAGCTTTTTTAATTTCTTCTTCAGACAAGCCTTTTCTTTTAAGAAATTCCTGTTTTCTACTTAATGGAGCTCTTGATACTTCAGGATGTTGAAAAAATTGTACAGCTGCTTTTATCTTAAAAATTAATCAATCTATTAGTAAAGATGAAACAAATCAATTTAAAATAAAATATCAATTACGTAATGGTACAAAGTACAATTAACAGAAATTCTTAAATTGTAAATGACATTGTGCCATTAAATTAAGATCCAAATAGGATTTTAATTCTAATTCTATTAAAACTACATAAATTTTTATAAACACACACCACGTATATAGATATATATATGTATATATACATATATAAAGTATACTTACTAAATTTTCACGTAAACATGATTTATTGAGATCAGTTATATCTTGGCCCGTCATTCTGTTAAACAATTATTCACATTATTATTATAATTACTTCTTAATATTTATTATTCTAATATTAAAATCGTGTTTTTATAGTAGGACCTCAGTATTACCAAATTACAAAAATGAAATGGTATTCACGAATACTAATTAATATTTTTTTACTAACCTCACAAATAGTCTTAAATTCTAAATGAAACAAGTATCATTAAATTATTTTATATGAAACATAATTTACATGTTTTTTTTTTTTTTTAACATAGAAATTGCATTCATATTGCATACTAATTGTTGTTATTTCGACCAATAAGAGATACGAACATAACCTGTAAGAACCAATCAGTTCCATTTACATCTAATGCAGACTTGACAAAATTGTTAATTTTGTAAAGAGGTGTAGCGATACCACCGCAGGTTGCGCCCTCTAAAAGTAACTAGACGGCTACGGAACTACGGAAGTCCCGGGTTTCGGTATCAATTTACTGTAAAAGGTTTATCTAGAGTAAAATAATATTAGAATGAACTTTCTTTATAACTCTTATTTCGAGGACGCGATTCGTTTTTACTTTTGGTGTACATTCATGAAAGATTACGGACGACTACTTTTGTTCGCGTGATTCCCTAACTTTCTAGTAACTTTTAGAGGACGCCACCTGCGGTTGTACCGCTACAGAGGGTTTATTCTTTCGCAACAAAGTTATGTGGAGTTTGTGCTTAGTGATTTAGTTATTATAAATAATAAACGTGCTTTAGCGTGTATATCATTATTTTTGTAGACTGAATTAAAATTAAGTATAGATATAGATATACATATACTTATATGTATATTTAATATTTAGAGAAGAAAAAAGAGAGTGTTCCATACAAAGAAATTTTATATAAATAACAAAATAATCTAATAAATTTATTAAGGAAACGAGAAGAACTTTTTAATCTCTAATAATAGTACTGCATTAATCAAATTGTTTTTAATATTGTCAAGATAAAATCATGTCAGCAAAAATGGAATACAAAATAGATGATTTACCGGATGAAGTACTAGAATACATCTTAAGTCTTGTTCCTCCCTACAAAGATTTACAAGAATGCAAACTAGTCTGTAAAAGATGGTGTCGTTTGATTAAAAGTATTTATTATTATTATTATTATTATTATTAAAATGTTTATATATAAAGTATTTATTCTATTTTCTAATAATTATTAATTATATATTTTATTACAGAAGTTAATGAGCACAGTGAGGCAAACTTCCATAAAGCTGTATCATGTGGTGCTTTGTTTTGGAATGCTTGCTCGAATAATAATCGAATTCAACATCATATGATTAGCAAAAGACATTCTCATGCAGCTTGTATCTATGATAATTCAATGTATGTATTTGGAGGATGTACGGATACATTAACTGCTTTTAATGATTTGTGGAGATTAGATTTAAGTTCGAAAACTTGGGTCAGACTAGTTACAATGGGCAACTATCCTTCCCCAAAGGCGTGCGCTACTATGTTGTATTACAAGAAGAATTTTATTCTTTTCGGTGGATGGTCTTATCCTTCTCGTTATCCTCCAAATCAGGTATAAATAATATGCTTCTTGTTATTATTTTATGTTTTAATACATAATATAATCATGATATTTTATTTGTAGAATTGGAAATTATTTAACGAGTTGCATATATATTCTATAGAAACAAATAAATGGATTGCTATTAATACTCTAGAAACACCTCCACCTATGTCAGCTCATTCGGCAACTATTCATGGAAATAATATGATTGTATTTGGTGGTATTAGTGGAAACTTTCGGTAACAACTTTTATCAATTTAGTATTACAAATTTGATTAATTCGATTGAATACTTTAATGATTAAAAATTTTTTTGAAATAGATCCAATTCCGTTTGGTGTTTAAACTTGGACACATATGTTTGGCATCAACAATACATATTGTCTCACCAACCGCCACCATGTCATGGTCAATCACAGATTCATTTAGGGGATCATCATTTGCTTGTGCTAGGAGGTTGTACCGGTCCTAATTCAGCTATGAATGATGTTTGGTTATTATCTATGATTGGGCCAGTATGGGGATGGAGAAAAGTAACATTATATCACAGAGAATGGGCACCTGCTTGTATTTGGTGTCATCAAGCTTGCAAGGTAATCTATTAATTATCATCTAAAACATTATTGATCAATATTTAACATTGTATAAATATATTTCTTTTTAAAACTTTTTAGATTGGAAATTATATAGTCGTATTAAGTAACAACAAGCGACGTGCTAAAGTAAATGACATGAATATACCAATGCAAAATGTTGCTTTTCAAAGACCAGTATGGAGATTACCTGAATTATCACCTTTGCAAGAAAGGTTAGTAAACAATCTAATAAATCTTATCTTATGTTATGTTATGATGTTTGTAAAAAGAAAATATATATTTCTTTTTTAGCAAACAAAGACCCAAAACGGATGTAGATACAGATGAAAATGTTAATGGTCGACATGGATCTTTCTCAAGATCATCCTCGCAAAGTAGAACGACTAATTCACCATCAAGAAGATCAAACTTTTCTAGAATCGTTCCATTTTGTTGTGACAGTGCAGTGAGCATGGCAGCGTTTCGTGACAAATCAATTAACACTAATTTCAATCTCAATAGACAGCGGCAATTGGAAAGTCTTAAAAAAATGGAAGACAAGATAAGAAATAGAAAGTTGCAAACAAAAGTTCCCAAGAGAACGACGGAGACCGCGTTATCTATATTTCTTTTAGATATAAGTAAAGTACTTAGTGATGAATGTAGCGCCACTTGGACTCCATTGAAGGCATTCGATCATACGGAACCTGATGAAAGAATTTTGTATTCTCTTGTTATGGGTAAACGAGAGTTAATTGTTTTTGGAGGTATTCGCAAAGAACATGCTACTTTTCAACCTCAAGGTGATATAGATAATTTAGAAGTGTATAATGATTTACATTTTATACATCCACGTAATTACGTTATATAATATTATATAAATGTAAACGTATTGTGTTTTTGAGAATCCTATGTGTAATAATGTAATTAAAATTATCGTCTTTATTAATTTAATAGTAATATGCCGACATATTATATATATGTATGATAGTATCAGTGTCACATTGTATATTATTTTATCTTGCTGATAACAACTTATTAATATTCGTTTGTAAATTATAATTTCTAAATTAAATAAGTAACGCTACCAAACAGGGCACCGCGCTAAGGGCATCGAGTTAACGCCATTGAACGGAGCAGTGATTCGCAAAATATGCATATTGTGCGTCGATAAACAATTGCTATTCGGAGTTACATTTTTCAACGCTACCTTGTCATTCTTCGAATCGTACTCTTCTTTATGTGTTACGTGATGACATGTTGGTAGATCTTGCAATAATTACTGTTGAAATTTATCTTGATTACCAAAGTGGATGCCGTCTAGATCCGGCTCTCGCAACGAAAGGGTTAATCAGACATTTAATAATAGTAGATTTAAATTTAAATAGAAAATAAATTCTAATGTTTTTTGTCCTTCTTGTTAAGATATGTCATAAAAATATTACTGGAAGTTATTTGCTTCTAAAATTATAGGCATAAGACGATGGAATTGATGTGATATTAATTTTAAAATATAAAAAAATCAAATGCTTCAACAAATTTGATTCCTAAATTTTTATCCCATACTCACACACATATCCATATATATTATATTTTATTTTTATAAATAGAAGTATATATTTAATAAATAGAATTATGTTTTATATAAAAAAAAGATATGTATTTGTATGCTTTCTTAACTATATTCTATCAATCCGGTATGGTCTAGTGGCTAGGATACCTGGCTCTCACCCAGGAGGTCCGGGTTCGATTCCCGGTACCGGAAAATTACTTTTGCAGTTTTTTCTTTGACTATTTTTTTTAGTTTAAATTTCATTATAATTATATTCAAATATCATTATTTTTATTTTTTAAATATCATTGATTTATTTGATATAAAAATTATACTTGTTTATATGTATATAAATGATTAGATATGTGATAAAAGAATTTCTGTGCTTTTATATACTCCAACCTACCATCTGTCCGGTATGGTCTAATGGCTAGGATACCTGGCTTTCACCCAGGAGGTTCGGGTTCGATTCCCGGTACCGGAAGATTTTTTGCATTTTTATTTTCTTCTACAATATTTTATTTTATTGTTTAAACAATTTCATTAAGTAAAACATAATTATTTAGTTTTTTTTTTTTTATTGTAAACAACATTCACATCATATAATTCTTTAATGCAATATGAAATAAATAATAAGACAAGAAGTAAAACAATTCTGATTTGTTCAATTTATGCGTAAAAATTTTTAAACAAATTGAACCAATTGGTTTCCTAGCTTGAATTCTTATCTTTAGAATGATAGTTTTATTTAAAACAATTGATTTTTTATCGTCCCTATTTTCGATATTCTCATGTGGGGTAAAAAGAAACAGTCTTAAAGTAGTGTTTTTTTTTTAAAGATCTCATTAAATGACATAATGTAATTTAAATTGCATTACAATTGTTGTTTAAAAAATATACGAAATTATATGCAAATATTAATATAATATTTTGTTATCATTCTAATCAATCTTAATGTTAATTAACTGTACAATACTAACAATAAAAATGCTTTCCTTAGTTTTTAGACCATGCAGACCAATCTTGATAACTTAATGATCTTATAGTTATCTTGATAGTTTAATTAATATCTTCAATATCTTTGAATGAACATTACAATATTACAATTTATTCATTCATCTTCGGTTGCATCGTTATCTGCTGTTTTTAAGCTACCAAATACTTGCGATGGAATGACTTGTTTTTCAATAGACATTTCTAAAAATACAGATAGCACATTTAATTATATATTTTAAAAAACAAAATATATCACGCATAAGTTAAATGATAAAAAAAAAAAAAAAAGGAATAGAGAATTTAAGATATTTTACCTTCTTCAATTTCTTCTTCTTCGTCGTCATCTTCTTCGTTTTCATTATCATCATCCATGTCGATATTAATTTCATCCGGATTATTTACACGTGACGATTCCTTACCATCAGTTTCAGTTATACCCCGTACAAATTTAATAGTTTCCTTTAATCCAACTTGAGCAGCTGTTTCTGCAAATACAAAATTAATTATAAATTAAATTCAATAAAAATTCACATAAATAACATTATCATTGAATAATAATAATAATAATTGTTTGAAATATTTACCAGAAATTTTGTTATCTAGGGCACGCATACTATCAATCTGTGCACCGGATACTTGACCGGAAACGTTGTTTAACATTTGAGCAGACATCATATTAACTTGAGTATTATACATGGCTTGTACACTACGTTTTATTCTAAGCATTTCACGCATTGTATCTTCATTTCCATGTTGTACTTCAAATTCCTTCCAAACTTTCCAGAAATTAGATGATACCTTTAAAGTAAATAGAAATGTTGTTAATACAATAATTATACTTTTGCGAATTGCATAAATTAATTGATTTTAATTAACATACTCTAGGATCGCATATTTGACTGCAATGTGCATAAATAGCTCTCGCTCTATCCACTTCTCCTAATTTAGTTTCCATTTCAGCAAATCTTAAACACATTTCTCTAGTATTTTCATCGTTAAGAACTTCAATAGCTTTTTCATATATCTGTCTAGTTTTTGGCACACCATAAATATCTGCAGCCTTCTTAATGTATATGTTAAACATCTATAAATAAAAAAAATAAAAAAATAAATAAATAAAAATATATTATTAAATTATATTTATGTAAAAGGTATTTAAAAATTACTTCAAATCTTTCTTCAGGTAAAACTGCACTAGTAGCTCTTTCGTAGACAGACATTGCATGCCTGGCCAACCCATGTTCTTCTTCTAATTTTGCATATAATAAATATAATGCTAAAAAATAAAAAGACACATATGTAATAAATATATATCACACTTATATTATTTTGAAAATTATATTCATTATAAAATATTAATATTTTTGAAATACCTTTAGCATATTTACTAGGACAATGTTCTAAACATTGTTCAAACAAATCACGAGTACGTTCCAATTTTGTTCCACCATATCGTTTCAAAAATTTAGTAAGATATGTATTCCATACGTCATATACGTTAGGCCATTTAAACAGTGCAATTCCTTTTTCATATGCCTGTATATATATAAAAAAAAAGATATAAATAATGTATCTAACTATAAACAAAAATAAAAGAACATTTTAATAATAATAATAATAATAATAATAATATTTACCCTAAAAGCTTCCTCGAAGTAATTATTTTCTTCCAAGAACAAACCATAATTAATTATAATTTGAGGTGTGGCTATTTTTAGATCTATTATTTTATCATATACAGCCTTACATGTCTGTTAAGAAAACAAAAACAAAAAACATTTGTATAAAATTAAAAACAAATTGACATTATTTTATTAAAATATATATTTAATAGAATTTATATATACCTTGAATGTACCAAAACTTTCTTCTAAATCAGCATACATGGACCATACTTTTAAAGATTTGTATAATCTCATTTGTACCGTTTCATTTTCATCATGATAAGAAACTTTACGGAATGGCATGGCAGTAGCACGATGCATAAGCTTCAACGCCTCTTTGGAATTTCTAATAGAAGAAAATAAATCATTTGATTAATTTGTAATCTATTTCTAATTTATTCAAAGACTTTTAGACATGAAAAAAAAAGAAAGTCAAATTCTTACCCATGTCTAATCTCCATTTCTGCCCATTCACACCACACCGATGCTAAATCATCCACCTTAGTATAAGGAACATGTGTAGCTCTTTCAAAAATAACTCTAGCATCCGCTATTTGATTATTTTCTTCATAAAACTTGCCAAATGCTACCCACAATGTATGTAACTTGCCAACTGCTAATTGTGGTTGTACAGTTTGTACCGCTTCAGTGTACGTATTAATTATCTATAAATACATTAATTATTTAAAAATATCTCATTTTTAATATTAAGTGTAAATTTATATTATTTTTCTTACCTCGTGTGGTTGTCCTTCGTAAAGTTTAACTCTTTTATGCCATTCTTGTACATTATGAGGATTTTGTCTTAACAATACTGAATTCAATAATAACAATCTCCTTTCCATGAGATGTTCAAATCTTGCTAAACGCAATTCTAATTCAATATTACCTACACATTTGAAAATAAAATATTTAATTACTTTAAACAATAGATTGATACATTTTTTTATTATTATTGTTTCAATATACGCACCATCTTCGGTTGCAATCATTGTTTCATTTTCGATACATTTACCGAGACTTAGTTCTTCAAATTGTGCATATGCATCAAAAACTTGTGTAAAATCTCTGACAGTTGTTACCGTTTGTATAGCTTCTTCGTAAATATCTCTTGCCTATAAAACAATATAACACAATATTATGAAATATATTATAAATATATATTTTTATTTTCATAATTATATATAAGTAATTAATAAAAAATAATAACTCTTTCAAAGAGACCACTGCGAACATAATAATCAGCCAATGAGTTCCACAATGGTCCTAATTGATCGGTGTATCTTCTTAAACCACCCCTGATGATAGCATCAACGTTGAGCGATTTTATTTTAGAAGGATTTTTCGATATCAAATTACACAATTCGTTCCATAATTGATGATTAGATTTTCCATGTTTCGATACAAAATCATCTTGATTGACTATCTGTGCAAGTTTAATAGCTGCTTCATCAAGTCTTCCAATGGATATTAAATATTCTATATATTCTTCGGTGTCTTCTGGTGCCAACTATAATATTAATTGAAAATCTTAATTTGTATCACAATTTAAAGATAAAAAAAAAAGTATTATTAAATTTTACCTTCAAATAACGTCTGAATACTCTGACAGATGTTTCATAAACGTTGTGTTTTTTCAAAAAGTCTATGTAAAGCGGCCAAATACGATGATGCTGTGTAATAGGAAGTGCTCGAAGAGAACGATCAAATACTTGACGAGTACGTGTGATGTAGCATTGTTTTGTCATAAGTATACAATAATCCATCCAAATACGTGGCATTTTATGCATAAATACTAAAGCTCTTTCAAATGCGTTATTGACATCTTCATAAAGGGGATCCGTTATACATCTTTTCTTTAATTGTCTTAATCGGTGTCGAAGATAGTTGTACCATAATTTGTAGCTGTTAATGTAATAGTATAAAAAAAAAAAAATCATTTAGTTATTTAATAAAATACTATATTAAATAAAGATGATAGATTATGTTACCTTCCAGGAAGTTCTGTCAAAGCACGTTCATAAACCATATTTAAATTATTACTTTTAGTATTTTTTAAATGGTCAATATAACGTTGCCAATGTTTTACGGAATAAGGATTCCGTAGAATTTCTTCTTCATAAGGTAAATCTTCATCATTCTGTAACGTTTGTTTTATTAGTTAACCTCAATTTCATTTTTAAATTCCTTTTAATTTAGAATAAATATATTAAAATACTTACAAAACTATACAAATTTCCTTCGTTATCTTTTCGTTCAATCATTTTTGATTGTATCAATTACAATAATCACTATTAAAAGCCAC